GTTCTATGGTAATATTCAAAAATAATTTATGTTCCCAAACGTAAGCTTGATGGTTTGGAAACATTTTTGGTATCCACGGTGTAATGTGTCACAAGGAAGGTAGACTTTGTCAGTGAAACGCACCTTAAAGAAAGTATGATATTCATAATACATAGTAGTTAGCGCAGGGATCCAGAACATGCATTTCATCCTATCCGCGACTTGTCAGGCGGATGTGCCTGCTTCCTAGCTAGTGGTGCTGTCCACATAAAGACAAGAACTCATGACTAATCGCTTCAAACTCCAGAACGTCAGACGCCAGACCACTAAGCCATGATAGCCTCTCGTCCTGAGATGGGTATAGTATAAATCTATAGTTACATCTACACTGTTGATTGGACCGAGTTCGGTATTTTTAACAAAACTTCAACATATTTCTGTCCTTAAAGATGCTTATCTTGCTTAGTATATCATATTTTCCTACAGGATTCGATCTTTTATAAATTTATTGCTTTAAGTCGCAGCATTTTCATTACCTTGACTTTTATTGCATGAAAAAGAGAGGAGAAAATGCGTTCTTAGTCATTTTGAACATAAGTAGGCATTCATGCACCTAACATTTTTTCAGTGACAAGTACTTTATTCCTTTGGCATCGTTTCCCAACACCTATAAGAAAATAAAGCTGAATATTAAGAAATACTACGCAACAATGCACCAAATCAAAGCTAACCTGTTGGTTTATTGAGAATTTGCACAAAAGGATCTTTTCCTTAACAATGATGTCATTCGAGATGCACTTTCTGAAATTTTATTGCCAACCTATAAAACTGACACTTAACGTAGTATGAAATGATTATTATTTGACTATCTGAGACAGCCTTAGTTTGGCAGAAATGATTATCTAATAGTAAAGAGAAGTGAATGAATCCATCAAATGTCAGCATAAGATTATAAGTTGTTATCGGGATGAAATTTGACTATAGAAATGTTGAAATGATATCTACTCCACTCCACTTCACACAGCTCGTCCTTACTCTTAGATTTCCATGAATTAACTAGTCTTTGCTCATCTGCTTACAAAAAGTGAGATCGAAGTAAGCGGTCTTCCATAAACTATATCAACAAAGCGGAGACATTAATTTGAAGTATTTTTCATCACACATCGACAGCAGTTTTAAGTCGATTAAAGATAAGAAGTCACCAGATAGTTGTTTCGTCCTAGTTTGGAGATACTCAGAAATGCACATATATGAGCCTAAGACTTGATTATTTAATGAAGAACATGCCATTCAGCCTCTTAATTAGAATTCAGTCCTCCACATTTGTACTAAACCCGTCATATTATTATTTTTATTTTTATCATTTTCCCATTTGCTATTTTTTGCTCTCTTCTCTGCAGTCTTTTCAACCTGGCTCAAACACTACCTACAAGCTTTCATTTCTTCTTCACACCATCTCCTCCATATCACTCTCAGCTCGGACGCCCATCTCATTGTTTCCCATTCCGGTTCCACTCAAGGGGCTGCTACGTGATGTCCCCGAATGGTCTTCTCAGTGTGTGTCAAGTCCGATCCATCTCCACTTCCTTCTGCATATTTATTTGGAGATGGATTGTTGGTTGGTTCGTTGCCGGCCAGAGTTCCTTGTTGCTTATTCCTTCTGGCCATCTGATGTTCTCTTCAGTATCGAGTGAGCATAGGCGGCAGCTGTTTATAAGATGTCTGTGTTTAGTTTGTTGGAAGTGCTTTTCGTGATGAGCTGTCAGGTCTCTCAACCATCATATAGAAGCACTGACTTGGCGTTGGTGTTGAAAATCCACCCCTTCACTTATGGTACTGCTTAATTAAGAAAATGTTTAGATATGAATGACTTAGATTTGAATCATATAGGGGATATCAGTTCCCCGAAGAATCCACATGCGCCTTACTGATGACAGCCGAAATAACGAAACCTTGGTCGAGCATTGATTCATATCGATTGTCTCCAATTTAATCCATTCTGACAGAGCACAGCAAAATTTTGCCAGTATAATGCTTTAATAGGTGTTAAATCCATATTATAAATTACTAATGGATGAGATGATACAGAAATCTTATCGCAAAACCTAGGTGGCAATAATGTTACAATGAAAATTCACAACTCGTGAACTGATGTTAATCATGTCTCACTTTTCACTCAGATGTGAGTAGTTATTACTCTGCAGAGAGATTTTTTCATGACAGCTATTCTAAATGACTTAATATTGAAAACATTATATGTTTTGAAGAAAGTGGGATTATTATTGGTTGACTTGAAGACTTCGTTAGCCACCAGTACTTCTTAGATATCATTCTATTCACAGTGGTCTAGGCTGTATCAGTAGCCATAATCCAACGAGTTTGAGCCTTATTCAGGAATCTTTACTTCGTTTATTTGTTTAACTTAGGTACGTGCATCCAAACAGTACAGCTGGCATGAAGATTTGAGAACTAATGTTGAGGTATTTGTTAAAATCCTCTACTGCTTCTCAATTTTACCATCTTAGTCAGCAACAGAATCATTCTAAAGCTGAAAATAATCCAGAGAGAAACCATTCTAGCTGATGCATTATTACCGATCAGATTTTTAACACAAATAAGTCGTACAAATAAATACCATGTCTATAAAATCGGAAGTCAGTGAACCAATTACTACTTAAAACGTTTCAGCTAAACGGAAGCCTTTATAAATTAAATAAACAAATAGTATCAGCTGTGAATGGAAAGTTTTTTGACACTGGTTTCGAGCTCTGAGAGCAGAATATAACATTTTGAAATTTACTAAAAACAACTAAAAAAGCTACTTGAATACCTTCTTATCGTTTGGCACCTAAACACGGAATTACTGCTGAACATGTTGATGTTTAAGTTGATATCGTGAGTTCAGCTTTTATGACTGAAGTAGAAACGAAAAAAACTACCAGATGACACCAAAGTTTCTTTTCAAACAAATGGAGATTTGTGTTTCGCATCTTGCAAGTTGAATACCCCTCTCGAGCTAAGACAAAAATTACTGACCGCAAAGATATGTTTTTGTCTTGCATTCACAGCATAAACTACTGAAAAAGGTTAAAGTCAATTAAAACTGATCTGCTTGTAAAATATATATGATCTACCAACTCTATGCAGTAATTATGATAAAGTGCTTTGTGAAGTATTCTTTCAAAGTTAGAACATGAATGTTTTTAGAAATGTATTTACTATGTTTTCCATTAATTTTAGTTGAACAACTGAACAGGAAAACATTTCAAGATGCTGAGAAATTTAATTAACTTATAGTATGTTTCAACATAACCAAAAACAACACGTAGTCGAATTAGAGAATGCGCCTACATTATTCACGGAAATACAATATTTATTACCCTGCATTGTTTGTTGTTTTGTTTTACAAGATGTAAGGCTTATTTTATTATGCTGATGACTGTCTTATTAAGTTGCCCGCTAAGAATTCCTAAAATAAAGTGAAATTGTTATGAATATTTATACACATACATTTAGTTCCATTGACAGATTTGAACAATGCAAGAAAAATAAATAAATTGTTACTGATTTGCGGCTACTAATCCCGCGTTTTTTTTTTGACTCACTAACTTATTTTTAATCCTGGATTTCAAATCTTCATTCATTGCCAAATGTCTAAAGTCTGTTGTGACATAACTACTACTAATGCTTCATCTCAGTTTTAGGCTGTTTGGAAGGTCGTGAAGTAAAATGAGCCCATTTCATCTCACAAATGACTTTTTTCTTGCGTTGTCCAGATGTATGCACTTGATTGTTTTACTGTAAACTCCACGATTTTGATTGGCTTCACTGGTAACTTACATGTTTACTTTGATGTAACAGGGGGTAGATTTCAGTTAACATGAATATTAAACGTGTAATCACTTCAATTTAAGTTGTTTTCAAGTCACTATTATCAAATGCGCATAGCGAAGTACAATAGATATTCTTTAAATATAGCGGCATTTATGAGAATATTTGTTTTCGTTTCATTCATTTTTCAAATTAAATCATAATTCCTAAAACATCTCAGGAAATTTGATTTTACAACTAAAACTGAAGTATACTATGGAACGTAAAACTAAGTAGGTAACTACAAGCTCCATCAGTTACATCTAAATGATCTGTGTCATTTAACTGCTAAACGTAACTGCCAACTAAGTCTAGTAGAAGTTTGTGCCAGCTGATTAAGAATAAATTTTGAAATCTTGAAGCCACGCTTACTTGATTAACTTTCACAAACGTACTGATTACAACAATGAAGAGTTGGCTTTATTACTGTTTTCAAAAATGTAATGTATAACTGTTTACTTTGGGGAGTAATGAGATGTCAGATGTGCTTCGTAATAACCAGTTAGATAGAAAGCATTATACTATTCAAGTATGATGCCACATAGTATATAGCTAAGCGTGATTATTTATATGTTAGAAAGTTTTATTTGAGATTTATATGGAATACAAACTATATATGGACAACTCAAAGAGTTGAAAAAGTGTTGCTCTTACTTATTGCACTTACGCATTCTTAAGCCATATTACTCAAATAACGAAAATAACTTATCGGTTCGTTCTATTGTCTTGACTTTATTTTCTATTTACATAACACTTTTATCACCTGTATAATGTTGTCATTGCGTAAATTTCATAAAAATCTTTAAAAAATTGATTTACATACGACCGTTAAATTGAGATTAATACAAGTTTGTTTAAAGGTCTATTTATCTTCAGGTGAACATAGTAACTCCATTAGATCATGGTTACAGACGAAATTAGTTTAGTAATTGCGTGTAAATACAACAATACCATCGGGATCACAGTGTTAAGTGCACTGTTCATGTAAATCACTTTCCATTTATTACATTTTCTGAGAAGTTCATCACTAAGTATATAAAAAAAGGTAAATAAAAAGAACTCCAATCACAAATTTTGAAATATAACGCTGATTTTAATAAGTTTGCTGTCAAGTTTGTACTTTCATTGCCTTTTATTTATATTTAACCAAGACCTGGAACTCATATTGCAAGATTATATGCTGTCGATGAAGATTCAGCAGAAAATGGTCGAATTACCTATGGCATTAAGACAAATGAGCATACAAATGTAGAAGCATTATTTGAAGTTGATCCTGTAACAGGTAACTTGATCCTAAAACGTTCAGTAGACTACAATTCCAACTCCTTGAAGCTCAGAGAAGCTGAAAATTCCAAGAGGTTGGAATTAGCCAGAACTCAAAGTGCAGGTAATCAAGGAGCTGAAATTAATGTTCAAAATTATTCTGGCCAAAGTAAAAACAACGGAACTATCAAACGAACTGAACCTCAAAATAGAAGATTTGAAAACCAGATGGCATACAGCATAATCGTTACAGTAAGTTTGCTCATAAATATATTGTGTATAGGCTTGTAATAGAGTACACATAAACGTTCAAACTGCTATCTTGAACACTAAATAAGGGCTGAAATTTTGCTTGTATTACTGATTAGGGTTAATGGGAAAAAGCGAGGTCAATCTGCTTTTCTAACTGTAATATAGTCCTTCGCCTTGATATTATTTTCAAAAAGAAAAATTGACTTAAACTGTTGCTTGAGTTGCCACTTCCAGAACTTTTTTTATTAGGCGCAAACACATGTGTATACGTCAGGAGAATGATTCAGTAAATTATTTCAACTGTTACACTGAAGTCCTAGTCAATTTATTTGTGTTATTCTAACCAAGCAGTGGCGAAGTTGCACAAACGAAGTTAAGAATTGTCTACTTGGATGACGACTAAATTAAAGTGTTGATTTTCGTTTTGGTTTCTCCACATAGTTTATCAAGTAAAGATGTGAATGTTAGCTAATACAAAGTCTTTCCCGCATACGACATTGAACAGTCTCGTCATTCGTCTTATTACGTCAAATGCACTTTTGAAGTGACGTAAAATATTCCTACATCCCAACTTCCTACTGGAGCTTTCAGCCTTCGAGCCGTATACAAAATCAAAGTGTATCCTAATCACTGTAATTTAGAATCTCCCGCGGTGGATGCGTTCATGTTTCTGGGACACGTATTAAGGATCAAAGCATATTTTTTTAACAGACCTTATCTTACCAATTTGTTGAATCTAAATATTTGACTTTATCACCGTCTGAAGTCTTGGTGGATAGTTTCGTGGGCTATCTGGTTTAAGCATTCGACTATGTAGGAGGGCGAAAATCACATTTCTCCAGAATATACCAAACGATAGCCATCTGAGCGCCATTTAACCAAATTAAACTGTAGGAAATCAACAGGACTTTGATTCTGTCTACACACCCTTCGATTGCAATCAAGATGATACGAAGGATGATCTCTATCTGCAGCTGTCAACTTCGTTATATAGAGCAAAGCGTTTGGCTAAAGCCATGGCAGTGGATGGTTTCAGCGCCCGATTAAAAAAAGTGGGCCAGTCAAGAAGGCACCTGGGAAGTATCTACGGTACTTCATGCCGGAGAAACTAAAAGAGTGATAGATTCTTATAATCCTCCTTTAACTGGAACCAGATTCTTATCTGCATTAGCTTCAAGCAGGAGGACACTGTATCACTTGGTGTGCACATACATCTAGCCAAGTAATCAAAAATGGATCACGTTGTCATAATCTACCGTTGAAGTGGATCACTGGGGGATTGCAGCTTTACGGAGGTATCTGGTTTGACTCCGATCACATGTACTTATAGATGGATGTATCTCTGCTCCATACCGGTCGCAAGAAGAGACAACGGTAAAGCCTTAATGTGTTTGGTTAGAAGATAAGAACCTCAAGTCTGAATTTAGGGAAGAGATATGTAGGCGTTTATCTGAACACAGAGACGATCCTCATCCTGAGGAAGCCTGGAGTAGTATTTCGTCAGTTGTAGAAATGACAGTATAAAGAGTTGAGAGTCTATATCAAAAGGTCAGTGAAAGCCAGTATACATCCTCAACCTCATTCGAAATGGCTGAGGTCAGAAGACTCATCCCAACTACCTCTAATCACAATGTGAGGGGGAAAAGGCTCAACCATAAATTGATTAGACATCTTTGGAACCACCGTGAGCAGTGGTAACTCGTGAAAGTGAGACAGTAGAAAGTTATAATTCACAAAAATGTTTAGTAATTGAGGATACCGGCAAGAACAAAATGATATTCAGTCAGAGTTATTGAGTCTGATATGGCCTCTCAGGACAGGTTACTAGAACGCTGAGTGGAACACGTTGGAAACCAGTTCATCTGACCTGTAGCCACACTTCATTTACCCAGTATACTTCTCTAGCCTAAATGAGATGTGGCCATAAGTCCTCGAAATTCCCTCAAAACTGAGAAGGATGTTACGGAACTAAAATGATACACAAAAGTAGGACCTGACAGTTTTTACCAGAATTTCAAAGGGAGGGAGGTCAGAAACGACTGCTCCGAGTAATGAAGGTACTAGCTAGTTACCAGGAATCAAAGGTATTCACATCAGATTGATCTAGGTGGCTGACTGTTCCAGTTTGTAAGAAGGGAAGAAAGTATTTATATGATTATCATAGAGTAATTATTTTGACTGACACTGTTTTTAAGATACTTAAATGGAGCTCGAGGACAGCAAGCCGGAGAAAATCAGACAGAAGAAGATAGTTCATTGTCGAATGGGACTAGTTCGATGACACAGAGACACAGTAATCGTGTCACTTTTGCCAACTCGGCTCACCTCTGGCACAGGTAAGACGTTTGCCTTTGTGATGAAGGATGGGCATGCTGCTCTACTGTCTCCTCTGTCCTCCTATACAGCTGTGAGGTATAGCGACTGCAAGCCAACAGTATTCGGACAATGTTAGCCGAATGAGGAATGGGTTACAATGTCTTGGCACAGTCCGTGAACTCTCCGACCGTTTGCCTTAACCATATGGAAAGATGCAGATTACCCGACTAGGGTTCTTGGAATAATACAATGTAATGTTTGGAATCTTTTGGTGACATGTCCAAAATTGATATTAATGATGCGAACGCATTCACTTTTTACCATCAAGATCTTGAATATTTTGTTGACCTTCATCTATTTATTCCTCCTCCTGTGACAAACGTGTCTATCGAAATACCACTTTCTTTACTCACCTACTGTTTGTATGCCACTGTTAAGTACGATAATGTGGATGAATTCACTTCTGAACGAGGTTCTATATTTATTTTTTTGTCCTTTATGTATGCAAATTTTGATTCTTTAATTCTTCAAAGGAATGTACCAGTTGGAAAAGAATCACCAAATTTAACACAATATGTGCTCACACAACTGGTAGCACAGTAGGTGTTTGTCTGTCAACCGCCAGTTTCCAATGAATACGTCCAGGAAATAAAGATGAACTACTGTTTTGCTCTAAGTGAGTAACTGCTAGCAGGAATCTGTGTTTAAACACCCAATGCCAAATTAAATAATTGAGTCAATTGGCTAATAAAGAAGCTTCTACTTTATCCGTCAGGATACTCATAGAAATCTGAGCATGAAAGCGCACTGATAAAAGTTCGTCTTAGTAACATCAAAGCTAAGAGAAGTAGTGCAATAAATATGTATTGAAATCAGTAGTCTTAAATCCCTCAGCATTCCATCTGTTCAAAAGTAAGAAACATCAGAACAGATTACACTTATGACTCCCAGCTCCTAGAAGCATTCAGTTAAAATATCAATAAATTAGGTCTTTATCAAAACATCAAATCTTTGAGACCATTTCAGAATTACAAAAAAAGAACTATTTCACATCACTCTGAACAATAATTCACTGCTTTGTGACATAAAAAATACTTTCAGTTATGAATAACTAAGTTGAACACGCTTTTAATCAGCATTTTATAGTTCTAATTATGAGGAATTTTTCCTATGTTGATTGCTGAGTTGTTACACAGTGAGATGAAGATATCTTTCATAACTTAAATAATCATCTTACTAGCCTAATCTATGCGGAATTAGATAAGATAACAAAAAAGTTGGGGCCTTAAAACGCACTTGTTCGTTGAAGTCATAGTTAATATGGTGGTTTCAATTGTGTTTCAGTAACCTGTATTCCGACTGGATTCATACCAGTATGTTTATGACTTATGAACTGTAAGCTTTAAAATGAATTCAACATTCTTAAGGATGAAGACAAATCGTAATTTGAGTTTGCTGTTCACGATAAAATAAAAGCAGTGTATTTACAAATATCTATTGCTATAACTAACCGTAAGTATAAACTCTCCGTTTGTTTTTTGTAAATTTTAGGTGAGAGATAATGGAGAACCTCCGTTGAAATCTTCTACAATTCTCAGAATTCTATTCACTCCACCTTTTTATCCTCCTAACAATAATATCGAAACGACAAATTCTTTAGCAACGAAAAATTTAATTTGGGATCAATCATCAAAAAATAATCTCGATTCCACTCAAGTTCGTTCTGTTTCACATGAACATGATTATGACTACAGAGAACCTCCTATTGAAAATGAGTTGACAGGGATAGGTGTATTACTTGGACTGGTGACTGCTATCGGTTTATTCGTTTGCTTTTTAATTCTTGTCATAATGATCACATTTCATCAAAGTCGAAAACTGAGTGAACATAGAAACCAGTTGTTTGGTAGAAGACGTCAAGTGAATAGTCAGCATCAATTACAACAGCACACTCAACAATGTCAGCAGCATATGCAGCCAACAAGTATACCAGTCCAAGTACCATCGACCCATTTTGTGCCTAGTTCGATTCTTCGACACATACGTGTAGGAGAATTTGATAAATCAGAAAAACATTTATCTGATATGTCTAGACAGTTTTGCATACAAACAGTGAATCAAGTGTTACCGAATTCACAGACTCCTTTAGTAACCAGTTTTACTACAATTTAATAGTGTTTAATTTCTTTTATGTTATTCTTCCCACTTCTTTCGTTAATCGATTTATATGTTAACTAAACATTGAACGACAGTGATCAGTTCGGTAAAGGTGTGTACGTTATCAATTATAAATGGTGATAAAATGAAAATATATTATTTAAAAAAGACCATCGGCTGTCTTTAATTCATTGACTTTACTTTATTACATTAGGTAATGATTCAACAAAGAATTTGGATATTCATCATTGCTAAATAGCATAGATTCCTGTTTCACATTTGCCACTTTTAATTCGTGAAATAATTTAAGAAATAAGGCCCCTGGACAGAAAATATGAACTACATGTAGATCTATGTATTATCGTAAGTTAACTGTACACGAGAATCTGATGCACCTTAGAAGACTCCTTATCACTCGAATGTTAGGTTCTACAAATATAATTACGAAATGAAGAACAATCAGTAAAGTTTTTCATTTATAATTTAGGAAAACTACCAGTGTTAAATTAAATGCGGGGCAAAATTATACTACATGATTTAAAAAGCATATTTATCCCTTTAATAAACGTAGACGGGGCATTTAGAATACAAATAGTACGAGATGATACCATTTCATAATTCATTTCCAACTGCATAACAATTAACATGGTTTACACTAGTATTCTATGTTTTCATACAAGGTAGAAAGCTATTTAAACAACTAGTAAATATAATAACAAAGTTGCTTTTATATTATACTGTCATTGATTGGACGAATAAGAAGTGGCTATCGATGCTTGGTGGTGTAGTGAATAAGGCTCTCGCGTTTGAAGCGATCACTCCCAAGTCCGAATCTGGGTGGGGACCACACCCACTGGCAGGCAGGTATATCTAGCTGACGGGTCTCAGACAACATAAAATGCGCACTCTGAGTTTTATTGCAGGCTACTGTCCATTGTTAAAGTGAACATGATTGGTTGCATAACTCAAGGTACACAGACGGTCACGGACATTATTTTCTGAAAATAGAACTTTCAGTGTCACTGATAATTCCAAAGTGCTTCTGTCATCTTTCATAACTTTGAGTTGAAGTTATATAAAGCAGTTGAAAAGCAGACACTAACAATGATTTCGTGACCATTCATCAATGAAAGCTCGCTGACCGATAATGCTAGGTTACTATCCTCCTTCGGATGAGTAACCTGCATATTAACGAGAGGTAACTTCACTTGCCTCTGTTCTCCTAATAGAAATTGATGTATAACGTTGTGTGGATACTAACTAATTTTGAGTACTTTGCCACGTGTTTCTCTTCCATTTTCATGAAGCTAAAGTGCTGTGGTATGTACTAGCTCTTGGAAATAGTAATTTTTCACACTTTTTATGAACTATAGGATGACTGTCATTGTAATTAGAAATTCGTTTTGTGTTTTTGATCTTCTCTTACAGGTGAGTTCATAATGTCTCCTTGAGCATTCTAATGATGATATCTAAAAAAGAAATTTTGTCGTTAATGTCTTCATCCTCTCATCCACTCAAATATTTAGTGGATCAGTAACAAAATATTCTCTATTTCATCTCCCTTGAGAATTTCGAGCGTGTTGTCAGTATACGGATTCCAAATTTTTGGTTTCATAATTAGAATGAACTGATACTCGGCATATTTAAACAGGTCAGACCACAGCTTCAAAACCACAATGAAAATGAAACTGGAAACATTTCCGTATAAACATAAGAACAATACCTGAACATAGATGCCAATTCAAAAAAATTCAGTAGTAATCAGCCCTAGAAAAAGGAATTTTTCAGGAAGTAATTTCATAATTTTGACTTACCTTGATATGCGCATGTCGTTAATATTAAAGATATTTAAGAGTTTCGGTCTTCTGAGATTATACGGCACAGCATTATTCCTGGAATATCGATATCGGATTGCAGATTTTTGTACTGACTGAATGAACTACAACTACCATAGTTACAATCGATTTTGAATTCATCCACAAGTCCAGACCAGACACTAATTTGGCACCAGATACCCGCTTCTCATTAGTTACAATAATACAGTTATTACTAACACTACTCAGATGAAATAATTGTTTTTTTAGAATATTGTATGGAGAACGTATTTGTTGAAATAGTACCTGCTGAAAATTCCATAGAGCTTCACACATGTTGTTTGGACTAAAGCAACTGTTATTTGAAAAATAAAAGATAATTCGGCGAAGAAAGTTCTCTTTTCGATGAGTCATTTCCATAAGCTGCAAAATCGTAGTCATACCTACAACAAAGTATATATATCCACCAATGGCTAATGGGCCAATACAAAGTCTTCAAGAAAGCTGAATAAAGTCACAGTGATGATAATGGCTAGAAGGTCAAATCAAGGTCACCAGAAATTGCTATAGGACTATAGTAAAAAACAAAGAAATGAATGAACTATCCTAGGGAGTTATATCTGTGTCCTAGGGTTCTCGCAATTTTTCACACGCCCAAGTAATTGCTGACTAATTGGCTAAGACTCCAAGTAGATGGGCATTCACTGGGTCATAAGCACATTTGGCGTATGAGATGTTTTTAATCTAGTTGGGTGGAGTTAGTTGATAGAAAGCCCATGACTTCAGTTTTTTGCTTGTTGTCACTCGTTAGCATGAAGTTTTTATTACTAATGTCCCCAATGATGCAGTTAGAAAGATTATTATCAGAATTCCGTGTGAACACTTTTGTGTAGTGAAATCTCTTCAACACACTTCAGTTGAACTAGTTTACATTGTATAAGACTTTGGAAAGCGTTTGTGTGTAGTGAATAATTATCTATGTTTAGCGGATAGTGCAATGTCAGATGGTAAACTATTTCCTATGTCCAGTCAACATAAAGCTTTGTGACTGGTTGGTAACCTCACACAGAAATCAATTAAAACTAATCTATAAGTTTTAAGATAGCAAATAAAACCATACACGCGAATCTGTTAACTTACCAATTCGTATTTATGCGTACGGATATTATAATTTAGGGGAAAGCTAGCGCTAAACCTTAAAATGTTTGCATAGTACTGCAGTTACAAACATGAATATTGGCATATCAAGAACTTTGAAAGTATCTCAATTTCGCTATAACTTCTTCAAAAATTCAATCAAAATTCCAGGCTCTTGGTCCTAGTTCACACAGAAGTCCTTTATTTGTGACAATTTATTTCTCCATTTGCATGTTATTATTTCATAGGTGGAACTTCAAACCTGATGCATAACACAAAGTGAATATGACTGAAAATTGTCAGCTGGATCAGCTTTTAACAAGAAAAATTTGTTTTGTGTCTAAATTGGAATTATAGACACAAAATAATTTTAAAGTTGAGTAAAAATGTTGGAATTTTTCTTCTTGACGAACGTGCAATTCACTCTAGCCCTAAAACTTATACCATTAAGAAGAAGACGTCTATATGACAAGTCATTCAAATCGCCTCTTAGAAAAACTTTTCAAAATATGTTGGGTAAATTAAAGAGATGGAAATTGTTCATGATGAAAAAGAGGTTATTCATGGCTGTACTGACTACGTAACGTGTATTACAGTCCTTCAATATTGGGTGATTTCTGCATTTGACTAGATAGTTTAACTGAGTATATAGCCGAAAATAGTAAAACATATACGAAGATTGAGTTTCCAGTCCATTTATTTGTCAACAAAACTTGAAAATTATCATCCTAATGATAAGAAAATCATCTGTCTTTTATGTTGTATATTTAGAGGATGAAGTTGATGCCTAATAAGTGTCATCTGGATTGTTACCATGGTATTGTAATCACTGTTATTGAAAATGACAAAAATAAATAATTGTTTCTTCAATGACTATTGTGTTTTCTATCTTATTTAATAACGACTGCACAGATCTAGAGGAGAAAGACTGTCATTCACTTGTCAAATAGATAAGAATTAGTTCCGATGTAACAACTCACTATATTAATATGTCTGATTGTATCAACTGAAATCAGAAAACTCCATACTCCCTAATCACTCATTCTCACTACTTCTTTCCAAGTTCAATAAAAAGACAAGATTTCTAGTCGCAAGTTGTGATTAATTTTTCATAGTTTTGGTTGATTCGGGCTAAAAATATTGTTTATTCTTGATATTTTGGCGATACGAAATGGTCTGAGTAATCAAAAGGAAAATCGCTTAGTCTAATGTTATGCCTTTGAATATTTATTTCACTGCGATTTCGGAAAAAAAGCCTTCAAAGTTCTTGTATTTTGTTATACCAAGTTGGCTTATGGTTAACATATCGACAATCATCTCAAAGGTAAAATTTTCTTAAAAGAATCTGAGTTATTAGGGTAACATAGAGCAATCTGTCTTTTTTCATTATGATAACAGAGTGATGCACATAAGGCAGCCAAAGTGCAGGCGAATATTTTAGTTCAGAAATTGAACGATGATCAAAAGGGAGCAATTGTATCTAGGAGTGTTGAAAGGTTTTGAATTTTTTTCAATCCTTCGGCAAGTTTTATTTCTCGTCATAATGCGATCACAATACATAACCAAGTTAATTATGCCGCAATATTACCTCGAAGATTTTTCCTTTTAATGGCAACCAAGCTATGTTCCCAGGAAATCATTAGAAGTGGATTGGAAAATATGAGAAACGTTCAGTAATAAATACTTTATATCATTTTGGAGGTTTCCAGGGATTTCTTGACTTCGGGATATTATTCATTGTGGAGTGACATTATTCGGAGAAACAATAGAAACCTGGGAGCACTGGATAGCTGTTCCTTCCTACTGTAGGACTCTTCACAGGTGCGCGTCCATAGCGTCACCAGGGATCGAATCAGGACATTCAAGTTCTACGGCCAGCACGTTACCATTGAGCCTCTGGTTTGTAATTCAGCGGTTCATATTTTTTACTTCTGTCAGTTCACGATGTAGTGCGACCTCTTTCCAATGTCGTCGTTGAGTAACTGTCTTCATATTCGAATTGTTTGACTCCACCAGTGACAACTGCTCGCTAGAACTTTAGGAAGCACCTCTTCGAAGCTAGTCACCAATGGCCACTAGATTAGTCCGATTTTGAAGTTAGTGAGGATTTCTAGACTTCTGATTGGTATTCATCGTGGAATGATGTTGGTTGGAAGGACATTGTAACTGTAACTGATTGTAACGTTCATGACAAAAAATAGCATATTCACA